TGCCTTATGTAGGTTCCAAAAAAAAAGAAACCAAAAAAAAAAGAAAAGTAGGGCGGAAGGAAACTGAGAAGGAACCGAAGAAATGGGCGAAGTAAAGTGGAAGAAAGTCTTCCGTAGAGCTAACTACCATACCAAATACTTTACCCATAATGGTCATATTGAAGACATGTCTTTCCTACAATGGACCCACCCCACCAGTAGCCTGAAAGTTGAGTAAAGTACAGGAAGTACCAGGCAAAAATAAGTCTGAGGCCGGGTTTAGAAGAAGTTGATTGCTCGTTACTCGTTTCACTTCAAAGGAGTTTTTGGGGGTTTGCACCAACGACATCGTCAACAGCTTTTTAATGATGGCAGCCAATGTTTAGAGCTGCACGTTGTCGATCATCAATGCACTTTTTCACATCCCACCCTCGAGACAATTGTCAGCCCGAGAGGAGGGTCCTACAAGTGGGGGGCTTCAATAAATTGAATGAGGGCAAGATTGGTCTCCATTGAGCTGTTGATCATGGAACGTGCTTTGAGGACGTTATAAAATACCGTCTAGGGGATGCGCCCCCGCTCTAGACTTCCATTCAAAATCTTGTGGCACATTGAATGTGGCGGTGGCCAGCAGATGTACAAGTCAGTGCTTTATCCTTCCAGACGAGTCTGATACAAATTAACCGACCGCGAAGGGCCTGGTGGGCCTGTTTGGGTATCGATCCAGGGTTCCAACCCGTTAGAGTGCGTGTACGATGGTGTGCCACTTGCCACTACACCACCTCCGCCCTTCCTTATTTATATGTCAAGAATACAGCACAATGGCTATAAACGCTAGCCTTACCCAGGCCGTTCGAGGGATCGAGTCACTGGCATGCTCAGCAAACCTTTACGGATTTTCTTCAAATTCACATCTAATTTAGGCACTTTCGTGCCGATTTCCTATCATTACCGCGCTCCGCTACCTCTTTGCACTCCCCTAGACTGCTGCAAATCCTAGTCTTATCTCTTGCTAGGATCCCTAATGCAGACGTCGTTGCTAGAAGGGGCAACATCATTACAGAGTGCCGATTTAGATTATCCTCTCCTTTAAGTGCCTTCAAGTTTTTCTCGGTATAGGAATTAATGGATATTCGCACCTACTAATAGTCTCGGAAGATTTAGACGATAAAATTAGCTGGAAATCAGTACCGGAGAGAATTATTCGTTTAGTAGTTATTTTAAGGCTTTCGAGTAGCAGTTATTCGGCAGTGATCCCGTTCGGGATTTCCATGAGTCGCCAACTGGGAGCGGCCGAAATTGAAGCTCATCTTCTACGACTTGAGGGGGCAAAAGCTTGATGAATTAGGACGCCAACCAGTATTTATTTACTTAGTGATTTGCGAGTCAATTCTAATCTCGCCCCCTTCTCTCCTCCNTCTCCTCCCATTAGTCCCAAAGGGAAGCGAAACCTGGATTGTTCATGGTAGTTATAGTAACCTTTTTAGTGGTATAAAAGGAATACAGCGATGCCAATCTGGGCCCTGGGATCGGCTCATGAAGGCCTTATCCTGGATAAGGCTCATTTAAAGGCCAAAGTCAAAAGTCGGCTAAATTCACATTGTAATCAAATTGAAATAAAATTGTAGCGAATTCAATAAAAAACGCTTTTTGATGGGCGGATTCGATCAGAATTGATGTAATCCACGGATCGGAAAGGAGAGATCACAGTTCAGGTGTAACAATTACATCGAGCTTTGGGACCTGCCAGGGTGTTTCGAAGGTTTTTTAGGTGTCACTTGCTAAGATATATTGTCTGAAACATGATTGAAGTCAAAGAAAATTGTAATATGTCGGGTCTGATAGATAGCTATGAGATAGGTGAAGCCTTTTCCTGTAAAAACAGTGATAAATGGTTTTTTTAGAGAAAAAAAACTTAGTAAATTGTGCAATTCTAATGGCATCTCCTTTCGTTAGTTTATGCTTTGCTTGGCTAATGACCTTGCTGAATTTGCTTCATTAAAGACGACCTCCTTGTACTGCATGCGTTCTACTAACACTAAGTGCAAGAAACGTCTTCTTTTTGCGGTGGATTACTCAAAGAAAAAGCACTGAACGACTGAAGGTTAGCAGTGGGATACAGCGGTCATTAGGTCCGAAACAGAAAAACAAATTGTTGCCAAAAGGACGACACAGAATCATCAACGTGGGGCTGCATTTGGTGGACGTTTATGAATGGGTACCCTGCATCGGGTTATACTTCGGTGAGAGAATCGTGATTTGCTATCCCTTCTCTTCTACACCCCTAGCCCTACCCTCCCAAATTAGGATAATGGCAAGCTAACAGGCTCGAGTAGCTGACACAGAGTGTAACTGATAGTCAAAATACTTCTTAAATTCATTCGCAGCTATACTTGACCCTTTGAAA